TAAAATACAAACATATTGAAGAATAATACGTTTTAGACGAAAAGTTACGATAATGTCACATGTGTAATTTGATAATAAAATATTGTATTGATACTTGCCATCTGTAGCTTAGTTAATAATGGTTTAAAAGGAGATATAATCCGTTGGAGATTCGGACTCCATGCACTGATGAAATAGTATATGTACATAATTACATGCACAAAACAATTGAGCAATGAGAAATACGAAGCTCTTACATCCAGAAAGTATTTCAAGCAAAACCACGAAAATGTCACAGTAGATACATGATGAAACGTGTGCAAACTAGACACCTGGTTTTGTTTCTTCCTCAATACAAATACACAAGTTTCGATGTAATCAGAAAGTTTTAGCAGGTATACCCACCACAATGTACTAAATATCTGAAACATAAATTATATACATACGTGTGTATGCGTGTGCGTGTGCGTATACGTGTGTGTGTGTAATGTACAAAGTTGTAATCATTAATAAAGTAATAAATATTGTATGTATAAATATGTTTATGATATCCGATATGATAGCCAACATTAAAAGAATTAAACTATTGATTAATTGTAAAATCAATAATCTCCTCGAGAAGCTTAACGTACAATATTTGAAGAAATAGACTTTTATTTAAAATAATTGTTTCTTTATGCTAATTAAAATATATCCAATGCCTAACAGTATAAGTTTTTTTAACCAGGCATTTTCTGCTTTTCTGTAAAATGATATTATTGCAAATGTTTTTATTGTAACTTAATAATTATTATATTGTGAAAATATACTTTAGGTGCATCTAAGTAGCCTGCATAATGGTTCCCACAGTTTGCAATGCTGAATTCTGTGAAACGTGAAAACCACCCGGCATCTTTGTGTAGTTTTAGGAGCCATAAGTTTGCCAGAATTTGAAATAAGTTATAAATTAATATAAAGGTTCTCAATTTATATGGCGGTCGATTTTTCATGTAGCAAGGACCAGCGTACAGAACAAAATATAAATATCCCACAGTTATTAACAATACTGGATACGGCGAAGATATAAATAGCCAATCACGAGTTTCTGGAGCTGCAAAAATATAATTTGTTAAATAGTGTAATCATTTTCTATCCACGATTCCTCTTCGATAAAACTTTATATTATTAATATTTTCAAGTATACGATATTATAATGGTGGCTGTTTTAGTAATTTACAAATGTTTCTTCTAACTCAGAGCTGTTCACGATTTGCACATTTCGGCCGATTTTCGCGAGTCACCTATTATCCCATACGCCAGAGCTGTCCACGAACTGCTCATTTCGGCCAATTTTCGCGAGGCACCGCCTATCACCCCCTACTCCAGTCATTAAACAACCGTAACCAAGCGCGCGACGCTCAGCTTCAGGTACGACGTATCGGTAATCCAACGCCGTTGCGTGCCTCTTGACTGCCAAATGTCAGTTTCTAAAACGTGATATGGTTAACATCTTTTTAAATAATTATTTCAATGAGAAATTTTTAATTTTCGAATATTAATTACATTGACGAGAATATTTTTAGTAATAGATTTCCACGTCACCCAGGAGGTACTATAATTG